CCACTACAATTCAGGGAATTACAGAGTGTGAAAGTATAGGAAAGAAAAACATTAAGGAGGGAGAATAATAAAAGAACAGGAATTAAGAAAACCAAAGATAATGATTGACATTGCATTTAAATTTTTGAAGATCAAAGTTGACGGGAAAGCAAGAAGCTGGAAGAAGGTTCTACAAATGAGAACCTTGGAAAAGAAGTTTTGCAATTGTGTCCACAGCCAGTCAGAAATGTTAAATATCACACTACTATATTTTTACAGTTTTAAATATTTTTTAAATGGATAACCATATTTGAGTAGATGCTCTATTTATTTCTTAAACAATATACTTAATTTATAATAGTTTCTCATGCAAAAGAGGACATAGGTTGGAATCATGCAAGAGCATTTTTTTTCATTAAGGGCAGATGAAAATAATTAAATGAAGTATCAAGTCAAATATGGGTATCCACTAAAACTAACATTTAAAGTGATAACATCTGTCAGATTCATAAATAAGTTTTATTAAATTATTTATTAATAAGTTTCTAATTTGCAATGACAATTAAAAGGTAAGTGGAAAAAAAAATGTATAAAACTTACGGTCAAAAGTCAGGAACATACGTGGAGAAATCATGGAAAATTTCTTGTCATCCTTAAAAGAGAAAAATCAATGGCAAGTACAGTTGACTAGTTCAACTGAATATATATATATATATATATATATATATAAAAAGATAGGATAAAGAACAAATAGGAAGTATTTATGGACGACGATGACAGAATAAAGAAAGACAACTTTATCCATAGAATGCACAAATGTGCATGGAATGCTTAAAAAGACTATTTTATTGTATCATAAAAGGAAAAAAATAGAACAGGACAAAAGTAAATAAATCCAATATATTCATTTTATTTCCCTTTTGCTTTCCTTTATTTTTATAAATGTAAAAAGAAAATATTTTTTTGATGCTTTTTGCATTTAAATGATTATTTTTTTGCCTCTTTTCCAACCATTTAAGTGTTAAAATCCAAATGCAATATTTCTTAAAAAATGGATTGCTGAAATTTCTATCCTAATCACTACTCCAATTCCTGACTTTACTCCTATTCAATTATTTTTTTTTTTTTTTATTTGTATCATCAATATTATTTGATATTTTAAATGACCAACTCATAGTAATGAGTAGCCATAGTGCTCATAAATATATTTGTTTTGAAGAGTTTTATAAAAACTTTGTTTTGGCCTACCTGAGCTATCCTGAAGAAGCAGTTACCACCACTTCCATCAGAAACCATTTTACGGTGCCATCTTCGCCTTCGAACCAGATCCATTTTGCGTTCTTTAGCATGGAACTTCATGCTGAACAAAGGTGCATATTCCCAACCTTCTGCTGCAGCTTGTTCTTCCTTCACCTTATAAAAAAATGAAATGGAATGGACATGGAAAATTAATAACAATTAAAATATAGAGAATTGATTTTTCAAGGAAACCAAAAGTTTAAGGAAGAATAACCCTTCTCCCCTAAAAGGAAAAAAAAAAAAGGAAAAACAAAACTGATTATTGCTAATTCAATCCTTAATTCCCAAAATAGAGTCTTGGATTTGGATTCAAAGTTTTTCTAAGCATTTTTTTTTTATTTTCATAAAATCAAAGTTAATTTTCTCCAGAGGTACCAAGAGAGCTGGAAATAATGTACTTTCTTATTTCATGTAAATGAAACCAATTCCTGATCTTACCGATATACAATTATTTTCTCTTCTGTAGATAGCTATTAGATGAATGGATCAATTAACAAGTTACTGACAGCATAAACGCAGGTCATGAATCCTCACCAATTTTCATGAGGTCACAAGTCAGTTCAAACCTAAACTATGAGATTACTCATATGGAGGATTTCATTAGAGTGGTCAAGGCTTGTGCAGAACACAAACCATATATTTTGGAAAATCTGATAAGTGTTCCATGAAGTCTCAAGTTTTCCTTCTAGAAGAGTGACCAGTCTGTGCTGCTGTTTAACCCATAGATTGAGGAAGATGAATTCATTTCTCTTCCAAGTTTTTTTTGAGCAGAAATTAAATGAAACAATTGCAATCTGAACTCCATGGTGAGGTTACATTGTCTATAATTTGTATTCTGACATTTGTGCAAAGAAAGCATTATGAAACCTATACTAGCTCACTTATAAAACATTTTATTCAGTTAGCATATTTTTGTGCCACTGCGGTTACCACTACCCTCCATCTTACAATTGTGGTTTGTCGTGATATTCAAAGCAGAATAGTGCAATGGCTTGCCAAGTCCTTTTGCACTGGGAATGTGAGCTTAACCTGTTTTTGAAGTTACATTCTAGCCTTTGCCTAAAGAGGCAGGACCTACAAGGTAGTTTTGAATATAAAGTTTCCTTCTAGACCGGTTGCCACCCACGGTTATAAGATCCAGTCTATCCTGCTATTTTACCCATAGCTGGGAGGGAAAAGATGTATTCATACTTTTCCCAAGTGTATTAGCATGTAAGTTAATGTAATGAACTCAACTGGAATTCAAACCTCAGCTCTCAGATTCCTCAGTCTCAGCTGCTAACCATTACTCCCATTACTCCACTGCAAAATGTACAAGATGAAATTCAAATTCCTAATATTTACTAAATATTTAAATTACCACATAAAATTTATTCATCTAGGATTCAATAATTTTAGCTTGAGATTAAAATTGGGCAAGATGTTGAAAAAAAGCTTTACTAAGTTTTTTTTTTTTTTAAAAAAGTCAAAAAAAAAAAAAAAAAATCCAGACAAACCTGCAAAGCTTTTGATTTTTCACTGGCCACGAGAGATCGTGGTCTAACCCAGCGTCGACGTCTGCAAAGATGATAATTCTTTTCTACAGGACCATAGCCACCAAGTGTTGCTTCCACACAGTATTCAAAACCTAAGAGAAAGAAAATTATACAGAAACAGATTAGGGTTGATATTGTTTCAGTTTTCAAATCCTGGTTGGTATTTAGCTTAAAACACCAAACAAATACCTTCAGTAAGAGGTGGAAACAAAGCATTGCTTAGATTGGTTAAAGATTAAATGATGAAAAAAAAAAAAAAAGTGTGTGGCAGCAATCTTTAAAAATCTGTGTGCTGTATTAGAAAACCAGACAAATGGGAAGAAATGCTTCCTATTAACCGGCATTTTGATCTGTTACTACAGATCAGCATCATTATAGTTTTTCTTGACTGAATTATCAAACTGCGACAGGTTATAGTTCAATTCTGGGATGCACATCATGTGATTAATGATGGTGGTGTCAGCTGACAAACTATCAATGAACCAAGTACAGTACTTTCTTGATTACCTGAATACCTTGGGAAATGGTTATAAAAAGAAAAAAAAAAAAAAGATTTGGATGAATTTAAAAATTCAGATAACTGAATACCTAAATTATCAAATTAAAAAAAAAAAAAAAAAAAAAGCTATTTTTTGAAAGAAACTTAAAATTTATTAATCCTTTGAGCCTTGCATTCCTGAACAATTTTAACTCTTCTGTCTGAACTCCTGAGTCAAAATTCAAATAATTGGTATGTAATATTTCACGGTAGATATAAGAATGGTTACAAGTGTTTACCCACTGTTGGCTTAGCATTACGTCATTTTTCTACCACCAGTAAAATAGTGGTCAGAGCTCAGAGTTAAAGAAAATATTCAAATGCTTTGTTCAAGGTTTTATTTTTATGGAGAAATGCATCAATCTTTGTTTCTTTGTTTTCCTAAATGGATTTGAATTTTTCTACTGTCTAATCCTGAAACTGAATTAAAGTGGATGTATTTGTAAAGGCAGTTTTCAGTTGCAAGCACAACCAACTTAAACATTTGTCAAACGTAATCAATGCTTTGATGTTCAAAATTGGACATTGGATCTGTTAAACAGGGGAAATATCCAGATCCGTTCAATATCTTAGTCACTGATAATTTTGGTCACACACTTTTAGCAGATCATGAACACAACCAAACAATGTTACTGTTCAAGTAAGTGAAACCTTAGTATCACCTGCAATTTCAAGAAGGAAAACTAAATCTACTTTTCACTAATTGTTTAAAGCACTGACCTTCAAATTTTTCAATACAAAGTTATGCATTTTCTTGAGTTAAAGTAAAAAAAAAAAAAAAAACTAACCAATTTCACAACCAAAATAACTGAAAAAATATTTAGATTTAGAGTAATATCTTTTTTGTTATTGTAATGTTTCAGCATGTGCACTTTGTGGCCTTCTTCAGGTTCATCAATCCAGGTAACTGAGGAAATTTAAACTGATTTAATCACATGATAGATTGTTCTGATGCCATGAAACAATAGCTGAGTGTATTAAACTGGTAGTTCATGAATTTAGTGCTATAAGAATTCAATCTTTGGGCCAGGTAGTACAGATTGACTCAGTGAAAACAGGAATGAACAATAACTGTGCAGCACTCAAAAGAACAATAAATCCCTAAACATGGACAGCAGAATGAGAACATACCTCTAAAAATTAAAGAGATTCACTTCAAGATTCTCTGATAAAGTATAGAGGGTACAACAGCTAGAACATAATAGACATAAGACTAAATAATGATAATTCATCTCAAAATGATCTTTACATTCAAAACTACAGTATGCAGAAAAGTTGTGTTGCAGACTAAACATGGTTATATGGTAAAGTAATTGATAGCAGCTCGGATTGAGAAATCCGAGAGCCGAGTTCAAATTCCAGTCGAATCCATTACATTCACTTACGTGCTAATACCCTTGGGAAAGGTATGAATCCTCTTCTCCCCCTAGCTATGGGTAAATAGCAGGTCGGGTTCTATAGCCTTGGATGGCAACTGGTCTACTGCAGAAAGAAATGGCAACCTACTGCAGGAAAAAAAAATTTGCCTCTTCGGTTATGTATCAAAGGATATATGATTGCCTAAGCATGTATCATGCATGGCACATAACTGATATATATATATATATATATATATATATAATTGATACTTAGTTCAGATGAATTTTCATTTAATTTCTTTTTTTGACACATCTAATTTGCCAAAAATTAACATAAGTACAACAAGTGACAAACTTACCGTCTTCATCTACAGCTCGACTCAGATCTATTTGCCAATCGTCATCCCATTTCCAACCTTCAGGAAGTTTTATCTCGTCTTTTGGAGTTACAGGGTCACTTTTCTGCAATGCAAAAATGTACAGATCTAATGTAGAACAGATTTCTTGATACAGTTAAAAAAAAAAAAAAAAAAAAATACCTTTTAGAAAAGACTTAAAGTTTATTAATACTGAACAGCAATGAATGTGGAGAGTTCCATGGACCAAACATGTAAGCATCAACAAAGTTTTAGAGAAAATAAAAAAGGACACTTAGAATCAGGAAGAGCCTATATATATATATATATATATATATATATATATATATATATAGTATAGTAGGGGCATAATATAAGGAACGGAAACAACAAAGACATAAATATGTGTATTAAAAAAAATGCATGATTAGCAATGAAATTTTTACCAAATAAAGACTTAGGGTGTAATGCATAAATATTATACAAAGTTACAAAAATTTACATAATAGCTTTTTTTTTTTTTTTTTTTTTAAATAAAAATTAAATGGAACAAAGCTACTGGACAAAAATTAAGGAACGATCTTGTTAATATCAACTAAATTTAATAAATTTGGTAAATATCCCCTTATTTTCAATGACTTCTCAGCATTGTCAACCACATGATCTAATTAGTTTCTTTTGAGCCCTTTCTCCAATTATCTTCTAAGCATTTTCTATTGGATTCAGGTCGGGGCTCTGTGCTGGCCACTTCATTAGGGCAATTCCTTCTTCAAATAAAGCCATAACCTTCTGAGCCTTGTGGCAAGGTGCACTGTTCTGCATGAAAATAGGAGATTCATAAAGATTATGGTGTAATCTTGGTACCACATGCTGCTGAAGAAGCCTTTTGTAAATCTCAGCATTGATATTTCCATGTACGTGGATGATGGAGCCAACTCCTGCACATGAAATTATTCCCCACACCATCACACTGCTGCCACCAAACTTAACGGTTTTCTTGACACATTTAGAAGACAGTCTTTCACCTGTTCTACGGCATACATAAGTTTTGGCCTCAGAACCAAATATAGTGAACTTGGACTAGTCACTGAATTTAACTGTACTCCATTGTGCGTCAGTCCAAACAACATTTTCTCTCACATACTCCAGGCATGCCCTTTGGTTTCGCTTTGAAATGAGAGGCTTCGAAGCTGGAATATGGGCATGAAATCCTGCATTTTTTAACCTGCGAGCTTCCTTGAGATCTTATCTGTCTCTTCGTTAAATTAACGGGCAATTGATGTAGCAGTTTCAAAACTTTTTTTAGATATTCTAACAATTCTTCGATCTTCTTTGTGATGTTTTTGGAGATCTGCCGGTTTTTGGTTTTGCATCTAACATTTTATTGGTTTTATACCTGCTAATTACACGATTAACGACACTTTTAGACCTATGAACAATATCAGAAATTTCTGAAATTGACTTTTTTCCTTGATAGTGATAATGAGTTTTTTTCTTCAAAAGAGAGCATTTTGCATGTAGAATTTGCCATATTGCTTAAAAATGAAGTCCTAATGATAAATGAACTTTTACTTATTGCTCCGAGTTTTTTAACAATGTAAATTAAAAGTTTATGCAAATTATTAACATCGTTCCTTAACTTTTGTCCAGTAGCTTATTTCCTTTGTTCCATTTAATCTTTATTTAAAAAAACCAAAAAAAAACAAAACAAAATGATGATGTAAATTTTTGTAACTTTGTATAATATTTATTCATTACACCCTAATCTTTATTTGGTAAAAATTTCATTGCTAATGATGAATTACTTTTTAAGTAATACACATATTTATGTCTTGTTTCCATTCCTTATATTATGGTTGCTATTATATATATATATATATATATATATATATATATATATATACACAAAATAAGAAAGAACAGTAAGTTTGATTTATAATCCAGTGTTAGTTATTTTTATTTTAAAGTGAACAATACAAACAGTAGAGTAAAATATCAAGTATTTTCTTTTTAAAAAAAAGATTCCATCACAACAGTTTTTCAATTTTGAAACATCATGATGAAATATTTTTAAAAAAAAATTATATATATATATATATATATATATATATATATATATATACGTTTGTAGTGGTTATAATATAAGTAATCCTTCAACTACTTGCTGTGACATCTGTATGAATTAGTTTGAAGACTGACTCCAAATGGCTTCTTTCTACCTCTGACCTGGAGCTTTTTGCTTATAGCTATGGACTAGTTCATATAGTCACCGGGGGAGGGGACTATTTATTACCAACACAGAGTGAAAGAGAGAAAATGTATAACGTACCTTGCAAGCTTGAGTAAATGGATGACAAGAGAATTTAGGAAAGATAATAAAAAGACAAAATTTATTAAAAGCTACAAAGGACAAGAAGTTCTAGAGAGTCATAATCGCCACAAGAAGTTGTGGAGAGTCATTACACCTGAAGGGTAATGGACCTTATGCTGCCATACAGAGGAACAGATATGTTAATGGTGATATTAAGATTGGAAGTTACTTTACAAGGAAATATTCAGCATTCATTGATTAAATAGTTGAAATTTATAAAATCTCTTAAAGCAATTTTTTCAAAAATGTTTCTCAAATCACTTTCTAGCTCATTTTTTTTTTTAATTACCTTGCACACTGTGTGTGTGTGTGTATAGGGAAGAGGCCTTTGTGTGAATATTCTACCCAATCTGTTCAGATGTCCCATCCCTTTTTGAGAGCACTTAGTCCAATACCTGTTCAGCATCCTCACACACCTTATTTAACAAGCAACCTATTGTAGCAGAAAAACAAAAATTCAGTTTGTCTAACACAAAGTGTAGGTGAATACTTTATTATCAATATCAAATGTTCTGCTTATAAAAGCTGCAAATTTGTATTCATTTTGTCAAGGTGCGTTTCTTGACAAAGATTTAGTAATAAATTGAAATGCAAGGAGATATTTTTACAAGAATGGTTTCTTCCAATTAAATTTTTTACTGGTTACAGAAGGTGCAAAAACAACCCATAAACATTAGTCACACAAAATAAGACCTGAAAGATTTATAAGTAGACCACTAATTTCTAACAAGCAATCATAAATTCACTTTATGCATGTCAAATGTATATAAATTCATGTTATTTGTTGAAATCTATAACTACGTTGTTTCTCCTTTATTTCTTCCAATTGAATTGCCTTCAAATGTTTGTTTATTTTATTTGTTGTGGATGAATGTTTAACGAACACACATTTTTAAGCCTTCACACAATTACACCTTGTGACACATCCAAATTAGCACAAATTTCGCAACAAGATTATCACAATCTGTTAGTCTGGCAATGTTTTGGAACCAAGGCTACCAGAAAATGTTTATATATATATATATATATATATATATATATATATATATATATATATATATATATACACACACACACACGTGTGCATGCAATAGTTTCATAATTCAATTGCATATATCTCTCAGAACTCTTATTCAAGGAGGGTTTTTTTTTTATTTATTTATTTATTAAGCACTTTGGTCAAAATCTAATAAAGATCTTTAGGTATCTATTGCAGGACAACATACAGTTTTGAACTTAAAATTTTCATTCTTCTAGATAGATTATCAGCCATGGCTCGAGAGCCCAGTTTGCCCAGCAATTTAACACATAGCTGGGATGAAAGACAGATTCATATCTTTCCCAAGGGTATTTACACACAAGTGAATGTAACAAACTTGACTGAAATTTGAACTCTGATCCATTTTCTCATTCCAAGCCACTATCTATGACACCCTCTGCACATCTCAAAGGAAAGTGAAACTTAAACCAATGTAATTGAAGGAAGAAATGGAAATAAAAAGCTGAATAGTAAAAACCAGGAGCAAATCCAAAACAGTTCAAAAGGTTACTGGTCACTTACAACATCTGTCCAGGGTTGCTTGTTTAATCCCCAGGTACCAACAGGAATCCGAGATTGGTTTTCATACATATCTTCCAGGTATGTTTTATGTCCAGCATCCTTGTCATACAACAAACTAACATGAAACAAAAAAGAGAAATGACAATTTTATAAAATCAGTTTTGTTTAATATAATATTTGATACTGAAAAATAAAACCAAAATAAATATAGAACATTAGACATAATTACATTGGCAAACAATTTTTAGTAACATTTAACAAATGTAATGAATTTATAATTTTTGTTACATTTCAGCCAATCCATTCTACAGCCTTCTTCATAGGTTCAATCCATAAAGAATTTTTTTTTCAGAGATTGGTGGCAAACAGAAAAATGGTGGTTTCTGTAGCAACTTGCTTGGCTTATTCCCAACAACACAAGCTACAGATTCTGTTTTTCAGCAACCCCTGTAACAATTTCAGGTACACTCTCCCTGCGGGGCAAAGAAACTTTCACTGGTCTGACTTCCACACCTGCCCATCAGATTAATGTATTCTACTTCCATTTTCTCATTCTGCCAGAGTAGCCAAATAAAAAGTGTCTGCATAAGGATAGAAAATTGAATACACAAAAATAGAAAGGGACATCAGGATGTGTTTTCTCACTGGATTTATTCAACCTTTATAATGAGGTGATCCTGACAGAGCTGGAGACCCCTACCAAGATTTAGTATTGTTGGGCACAAACCTAACAACATAAGACCTGCAGATGACAGATGTTGATGGCAGACATGGAAAGAAAATTGTGGGATCATCTAGACAAGATAGTGGAGAAAAGCTAGAAGAAAGGACTAACCATCAGAAATGCTAACTGTAAATTGAAGATGTCAAAATCAAGTATAGAAGTTTAAATATTTGAGAACTGTTTCAACAGAGGATGGAAAATGTGATACCAAAATTGAACCATATTGAAATAGCAAAAGATAGCATTCCAAAAACTAAAAGGAACAAATTGTTAGAAATGAAGAAATTTCCCGATTAAAAACATTATTGAAAGTAAGTTTAGATTCAGCAATAATAACGTGGGGTGGCTCCACAGTCAACAAGTAAACCGTTTTTGTTGGAAACAGTATCTAGTCTAACAGAAAACAAGGTTCATTCTTTGAAACCTGTACACTTTTTTTTTTCTTTTTTTAAGGAAATGAGCTTTCTTTTTATTTCTGCACTCAGTACTTTTATGTCCAGGTTTGTGACAAGCATGGTAGATATTTTATTTTTAGTCAGTGGATTGGAATTATAGTGTTTAGAGGGGAAATTATTTACTGGGTAATGCCAAAATTTACTTTAGCAGTCAGGGCTTTGGTCTTGGCATTCTGAGATTCATTACAGTACTTTCACTGTTATTCTTCTGAATCATCTTCAGTTTCTTTGAAGCTTTGCAATTCTACTTTAAATTCACTAAACATCAGTAGCTTTTCTTTCTGATTAATAACAGTTGTAAATGGTCTAAATTCAGATGAGGACCATAGCTATTAGTAGTCCATTGTTAATCAACTCCCCTGACATTTTTAATAAAGTTGCCGGTTTTTGGCTCCAATATAACCAGTAACAGTTTCAGCACTTGCTTTGCATAGGGAGGTTAATTCAGTAACCAAATAAATTATTTTTGGTTTTTCTTTTGATAAACAATGCTCTCTCAAAATTTGCTGCATTTTTCTGTCATTGTCAGGGACTTCTCTAACAATAAAATAGACTTCGATCATTGAGAAATTAGATTAATTTGGCAAATGCATTCGCATTCTTTTCACAGTACAATTCGACATTGGGGTGATCAAATGGTGCCAAGATTGTTGTGTGTAATTTTTGGATTTACATGTGACTCCAAAATTTTACCTCCTATAGTATATATTTTGATTCATCACCATTGAAACAGAGTCTATTCCTGGGTTGATAACCTATGAAGTGAGTAGCCATGGTCAAATGCAAAATAACAGAACTGTCCAACAAACAGAATTGAGTATCTGTCTATATTTCTATATTACATTATTCAGACTATTATCCTCATCTTTGTTGCCATATTTATCATGTTTCGGCCGTTGTACGCTCTGACCTTCAGGTGGTTGGAATGTCTAACTGAACCCTTTATTTCGTTTGCTGGAGTAGACTGTTCTAGTTCCACATGCCATGTCTAATGGATGTCAGTTATCTCCTGTTAATTCCCCTCTCCAAGTTCTACACTGCCTTAACCAGAATTGACAAAGTTTTCAATAATAAAAGAAAAAAAAAAGAAAGGAACAGGGCAAAAAGAATATAAAGCAAGCAAACAATCTATGTAAGACAGTTCAAACTAAGAATTGGCATTGACACACAAAAGCAAGTTCGGACAAGTGAATGTAGCATTCTGACTTCAAGACAGATCAGGACCAAGTCAGATGAAACTGCACACCAGCCTATTTTATTGGCTAAGAAAAAATAAATTCCAGCATCCATTTGTGTGTTTCTGCCTATACATGGGGTAGGGAAAAGGGTTTTGCAGTCATTCCTAGCAAGATTGAAATCAACACTAACATTCACTAGCTTTCCACTTCAGAGTCAGAGAGAAGGCATATAACACATTTCTAAACTTTAACATGTTCTTTGTAGAAAATAAAAACTTCATTTACATGCTTCCAACTTCTCCCTAGATATCTATTTCTTTATTTTAAATGAATAAATATATATATAGAGACTGATGGCAGATACACCTGAGTTTTCATGACAATTATAAAAACAGAGTATGTTTACCTTAATTCTTGATTGATGTACCAATCACCATCCCACTTCCAGCCAGTAGGTGGGACAAAGTTTTCCTTTGGCAAAGAAATCTAAAATCATATAGTAGAAAATATATAATTAAAATCATAATTATTGAAAAAAAATTAATTCATCACTGAATGCCCCATACTTTTTATTTTATGCCATACCAAGCTAAGCAAATATCAAAATTTTTTAGCTACTTATGATAAATATATGAAAATGTACTTTTTTGTATTATATACAAGTCCTGGCATGATTATATCCTTCAGTTTCCCCTCCAGCACAGTGCCTACTATTTAGTTGATCAATTCATTCAATTTTTATGGCTTATCAACCCTTTGCAGGCTATTTAAAGCCAGAAAATATTTTTAGATTCTAAGAATCTTTTTGAGAGCTAATAGTTCAGCGATACAAGTTTTACTAATTAACCCATAACTGGGGAAGAGGAGGTAAATTCATCTCTTTCCCAAGGGTATTTGTGCATAAGTGAACATAAGAACTTGACAGGAATTGGAACTCTGTTCTCCGGAGCTTATTTGGTATGGCACAATTTTTTTGTCCCAGGAATCCTAATATGTCAGAATACAAGCACTCATGCCTTATTTAAATTGGCAGATTTTATAATTTGAAAATTCCCACCAGCATGGTTATTCTAGTTGGCATTTGTATTTGGTAGGGATAAGAGAAAAGTCATATCACATGTGCAGTAAACCATTAGAGGGTCATATGGGCACCACATGTAGTAGCAGTGGGTGTATCTAGATAAAAGATATTCCTTTCCAGGGTGGTTTTGAAATCTGAGTTGTCCTTTTCATCAATAGGCTGCCACCCAAAGCAAAAGAGCCTTATATCTCCAGCTATTTAACCCATAGTTGGAAGATGAATTCATGCCCTTTTCAGAAGTTTTAATGCAACAGGAATTTAAACTTGGAATGTCAGTTTCACTTTCCTTCTATCCATGCACAAAACAAAAAAAAAATTTGGAAACCAAGACAAAGTACTCAATACCAAACTGACAGGGATTTATATTATTATTATTATTATTAATAAATTATTAATAATTTATTAATAATTTGACTGGCAGTCATAGCTGGTCAAAGGAATAGCAGAAATTACCAGCAAATATAACATGCATATATTAAAAGAAATCTAATTTTACCTTAAAATTGATTCTAATGTTATATTTAGATTAAATTTTTCTTCACTATATTGAAATATTTAATAATACCAAGAGAAATTTATTCCTTATTCTAAGAGTGCATTGTTAAAGTCAGTGTTCCAGAACAAAAAGATATCAAAATCAGTTTTATGATCATATTAAATTATAATGAACAACTATAGGTTATGTTTTTCATTTGTTCGATATTCCTTGTTGAAGAGAAAAAGTCGCATTTCTGTATTTAAAAAAAAAAAAAAAAATCTCATCAAGAGCTAAAATCCTACAAAAATTTTACTATTTTAAAAATGTTATCCTTGGATAGATATTTAATCATACAGGTTTTCTTTAATACACGTTCTTTTGAGAGTAGTGTATTTTCATGAAGACCAGACAGTTTGTGTTAAAACTTGTTACAATTGTATATCTTTTTTGACTTATTGGTTAAAACCTACCAAAATTTGTGAAGGATCCATTTCCAGATTATGGAAAATTTTTTTTTTTTTGTATGTACTGACCAATGAGAGATGTGATCTCAAACACTAGTAACATCCCAAATAGTAGGCCTATGCGAGCCTAAGAGAGCTCAGGTCAATAGATGCAGAGAGAAAACTTTTTGAAAGCAAGAGACAAGGCAGATCAATATCAGGGCAGAAGGTATCAGTTACTGGCCAGCTGCAGAGAGACTAAAGAATTTTGAAGTTCAAGTGATAATTCTCTTATGGTTGGACAGCCAAGAATGAAAAAGAATTCTAAACAATTTTCTCAAGCACAAACCGTGTGAAGTTAAAAGGGACTTTCAAAAATTACTCTATGTCCCAGAGATGCTTGTGAGGCAAGTGAAAGTACGTCATTGTTTTTTCTCAAAAAGGTTGTTGCACCCTTTTTGGTTTTTTTTTTTGGTTTTTTTTAATTGCCTTCTTGTATTGTTTTCCTTTGAAAATTTCAAAACCTTTGTCTTTTCCCCCCTGAGGTACAGTGGAGTAATGAATAGCAGCTTGGATTGAGGAATCTGAGAGCAGAGTTCAAATTCCAGTCAAATCCATTACATTCACTTATGTGCTAATACCTTTGGGAAAGGTATTAATCCTCTTCTCCTAAATAACAGGACAGACCAGGTTCTATAGCCTTGGATGACAAATGGTCTACAGCAGAAAGAAATGGCAACCTACTGCAAGAAAAAAAAATCTGCCTTGTCAGTCATGTATCTAAAGACATGGTCACCTAAGCATGTATCACGCATGGCACATAACTGTCTTTTCCCAAACACTAATATTTTCCATTTTTTGCTCAGTCCTTTAATCAGAAATTGTTATCCTGCCTTAATAGGCACACAAAAGGAAATTTTTTATGCAAATTTTGTATTTGGACCTTTCTCTTTATTGTAGAAATAAAAGGTCTTCCTTTTAAAATTTTATGCAGTGTTTGTCTCATTTTGTAATTTTGCACCTATTATGATTTGTAGTTTCTACTAAGATTTTGTTTTTGGCACAAGAACTTAGATTTGATAGGAAATACAATTTTCATAATCCATGACAAGTTACAGCTTGTTATTTGTATTTATAGTTGAAGAGGTCAGCAATGATCTTCCCAAAGCAATCACCCAAGGAATATTAAAGGAAAATTTATACATCCATATCAAACTGGAGGAGCTTGAATTTAAGACTTTAACTTACTATCCTTTGGTTGATTGTATACCTTTGACAAGATATGGTGTGCATTTTAAATTAAGTGAGCTATTATATTGACCAAAACAAACTGAATCAATAATAACATTGACTCTCTATAATAAAGGGAAAAATTGTTTTTTTTTTTTTTCCTTACCTTTCCTTGCACATCTGAGAATTTGGGACGAGTCATTGTTAGTGAACCATCAGTCCAAGAACCAAGAATGCTGACTTGATTTTCATACTGTTGAGAAAATATGAACACATAACCATAACTGAAGTTTACAGAAACACCAAAAGGAAATTTAAAAACATTTCCCCTCCCACCAAAGTATTTCAAATTTTCTATATCATTGATAATGCATACCAGTGCATCATTGCAATGGATATTGTGATTAGAGTTAACAATTAACATATATTTTTAAAAAAAAAATAATTTAAAAGTTTGCTCTTAGTATTTTATATATATATATATATATATATATATATATATATATATATATATATAGGGTAAAATTGGTTCAAATAAAGCACTTCATTAAAAATATTTATGGAAAAAAAAAAAAAAATCAGAGATAGCAAAGATCTTTGGTTACCGTTTCTGCAAACACAGCTAGTTCTCCCTCTGTCTGGTTTTTATGCCAAACGTCCTCTTGCTTGGCCAAACCTAACCACAATTTTACTCTTAAAAGGGTAGGAATCTCGTACTTTTCCTTTTCAGCTTTCAAGCCAGGAAACTGCAAAATAAGAATTTACATTAAAATGGTCAAAGGTCGTTTGATTGTCACATCATATTCACAGACTAAAAGTCAATAGCCAAGGTTCATTGCAGTTTATTAAAAGGACTACTTCTGCTCAGAATTATTAACTATTGTATTTGATAAGACATGTTTGTTATTTTGTGTATTTACAAGCAAGCACTTCACATTATTGAAATGTGCCTACAGTAGAGCAGAATAACAAGTGAAAAATCTTCAATAACAAAAAAAGAAGCAATTTACAAGCAAAAGAAGAAAAAAATCAGGTACACTAAACAATATTTTATAAGAATCAGGCTGACAGTACAGATGAAAACAGAAGAAAATCAAGTTGTTTATCATTCAAATAATAAGCATGGATGTGTTGCGGGCACTATTCCTGGTCTGACTAAAAGCAGTAGCAACAATAGGATAATTAAACCTACTTTGACAAAGTAAAATTTTAATCATTTTTGAAGTAAACAGTGACTTGCTGGTTTTTCATGTCAACAGTGACTTTTTCACGTCAACAGTGACCTGCTGGTTTTGCAGAACTTAAGACTGAAGTTTTTATAATAAATCCAATAACTTTAATAAAACCTGTTAAAACTACCTAAAATTTAACTAGCTTTGTTTTTACTTCTAAATCATTGAAAATTTGTCAATTTTTCAAGGCAAATTAGTGTTATTGAGGTTTATGTGAGTTGTATAACCTCGGACTGTATATCATCTAGATGCACAGATCCCTCAACTTCATGTACAAGACTTGGGAGATCTTGTTTTCAGTTATTTTGGGGAGTGAAAAGTCTTGTATATGCAAGTGAATATAGTCACTGACAACAAATCAGTTAATGATGTGTCCTCTTCAGATAAAAATCCATCAACATTCGCTATTCAAAGTACAATTTCACTTATATATATATATATATATATATATATATATATATATATATATATATATTAAAAACAAGGAGGAAAACTTTTCTTTACCAACATATTTTGTCCCTTTCCCAAGACAACATACATGACCATAAAAAAAGTTTAAAAAATCTTAGGCATTAAATTAAATCCTCTATGGTTTACCTTTACTTTCAGTTAGCCTAAAAATATTTTAGAGCATTCTTAGATTTAAAAATGTTGAAAACTTAATATATCCTACTTCTGTTTATAAATGTTTCAAAATAAAATTCTTACATTTACCTTCATAAAGCTCATCAGAGGACATAGAAAGGTTTTTGTCTTGTCTAGGCATATTGTCTTATCACAGACATTTTACACATATCAATCTCAAGTTTTCTCAGGGATGGTGAACCATGAATATTACAGAAAAAAAAATTCATATATTTATGAAATTAGAAAGGATTTTTCTTTTTTTTTTAAGTTGCCTTAAGTTCAATTAATCTTGACTAATAAGAAGCTTGGTCTTTTTTTAATTGCTTTTTATCTTGTATATGTATGAGTGACACAAATTTTATGTGACAGAAAAAAAAAAACCTTCCAATTCTTATTTATATTTGAACTAATGATCTCATCTTCATTGTTATCACAAAGTTTTAGCCATAAGTATCTGGTCAACTGTTTACTCAGATGCCAGAGACTTACAGTAATTTTGCTCAGAGAGAGTATGTGTGCATTATCTGTCAAATAAATCATCTTTTAAAAAAAGAAAAAAAAATTTAATAGTACATTGATAGTGTCAGACTAATATCCTCATCTTTGTTGTTATTGCCACAACATTTTTGCTGACATGCCATGTAGACATCTTCAGATATTTGTCAAATTAAGTAACCTTTCAGAAATTTTGAACTGAACCTTTTATTCAATTCAGGCATAAATTATAAAAAGTTAGTGTTACAGTCATGTTAGGAATATATTTTGTCCAATGTGGGAGAGTATCAAGTCTTTATCATTAATGGTCATCCATACAAGCCTGATTTCATCAGATATTGATAAGTTAGAAACGGAAAAGGTTTTGTGAATTAAAGCAATGGACACTGGTTTTTATTAAATAAATTAAGTCTTCCTGTTTTGGAGAAGAAAGAAAAAAACAAGCTCTACATGAATAATGAATTTTTTTTTTTTTTTTTACAATGGTAAATCTTCTTTTCAACTACTTAAAGCAGAAGTTATTTTTTTTTCATTTTCTTGCCCTTGGAGCATTTTTTAAATCTGAAAATAAAATACTAAATTGACACCAATTATAAGAGTTTATACCTTCATTTGAATGGATTGCACCTTTCCACATTGTCTGCCAATGTAGTTAGGATTAGCAGAATAGAGGACTTCATAAGCTGGAATCCTATGATAAGCAATTCTTTTCTCATTGCTGATCATCCAAATTACCACATCAGGAAGACTGTTTTGTGGCTGTAGAAGTAAAGAAAAAAATAATTGGTTCATTTAAAAACAGTTTTTAATTGAAGATTCAAAACAGTTCTTAACCATTTTTTTATGAATATAAATATTTAACAATTGTTAACAGAGAAAGCAAATCTGACTTGAAGAATTGATATTTGCAGTTCCTCTCATGTTGCCATCAATAAACAGAATGGCAGGTGTGCTCGACAGATACATTTTAACCAGATACATGCTTGTGAAGAAGTTAAGGATTAAACACTATGAGCATTAAATAAGTAACAAGTTGGAAACATTGAATGTATTTTGCTATTTATTTAGCTTCAGAAATTTGAGAAGTGGAATAATGTGCCATTATATTTCAATTCTTAAATTCCATGATTTGTTTTTATTGGTTGTGTGGATGCCATGTATATACCTTGTGGCATCTGTGTTTGTGTTTCATTCTTGAAATATTAAAAATTGGGTTTATTCATGAATTTTAATTGTATGATAAATATCATGAACCTTGGAGTTGAAGGTGTAATACAAGGTTATAAAACAAAAAAGAATTTTGTTAGTGACCTATAAAGTTCAGCTGAACAAAAATCAATTTTTATGTTACCAGTAATCCTTTTGAAATGGGACCAGATTTATTATTTGGCAATGGGGTCATTGAGATCGATTTTTTTTTTTTTTATAATTAACCCTTTGTGGGCTATTTAAAGCAGACACTTTAGTGAGGAAGCACAAATGAATACTGCATTCATTTTTTGAGAAAAACTTTCCTACTATTTAACCCATAACTTGGAGATGCATTCATACCTTTCCCAATGGTATTTATGCATAAGTGAATGTATATCGTACCTAGAATATTTCTGCATTGTTCATTTTAAATGTTTTTTCATAATACAGTGAACCATACCATGTGATCATGTTAAGTGAAAAAAAAAAAAAAACTCATGACTAGAGAGTTTGCTATATACTGGGTGCTCCACACTTACTCTGGCTAAGTTAAACTGTTGATCAGCAACTCACCTCAATAGCCAAATTTTTTATGCGTTGTAAGACACTTTCGACTTCAACCATGGCTTCATTGATGTCTGTAGCATTTTCTCTCACTTTATTTACATGTTCTATGATTTCTTGGAGTTCCACTTTTCTGTAAGATTGCATATTTCTGTCCAAGTCATTTTCCAAATGGTAGCCCTTCTCAGGTTGAGGTAATGGCTTCCTAAAAAAAAAAATAAAAAAAAAAATAAATAAATAAAATAAGTGTGTGTGTGTGTGTGTGTGTGTGTGTGTGTATACATATATATATATATATATATATATATACACACACAAAAAATTGAGAAGTTAATTTTTCAACTGCATCCATTTTTCAGAGGCTTAAATGTTAACAGCTTTATTTTCTGTTGCTATTACTCAACAGGATTTAGAACAAAGAGTTCTGTAATATACTGGATACAATGGTTACTTTAAATAAATCGTAATATGCAAAGGCATTATGGAGTTTTTTATGTTCAGGTGTAAAACTCATGGAAGAAACACAGCAAACTAAAAATTGTTTTTCATTTTTTTTTTTTTTAAATGAGTGACAAGTTTATTGCAATAATTTTGGTCAAGAAAACTAAAATTAGAACAGTCAATATGCTTTATTTCAAACTAATGCTACAAAATATGTTACATACAAATGTTAAAATAGATATAACATTCCAGCCTAGTACTCTTTGGCCAATATCAGGTGTCCATTGCTTGGCTGACACAGTATATCCTGTTGTGTCATTTTGTTCCTGTGATGCTAATAATTGTTTGTTCTTGTTTAACCAGTGTCTCACTACATGTTCCAAGGACTGAACTTATGACCACTAAATGACAGAAATGTCTATATAAACATCTATAATAACCAAGAGTAGAACTTAGATTGAAATAACTAATATGTTGATGAATGAAAATAGAAAACCAATTTCTTTCCAAGAAATCTTACATAAAAACAGGATTCATTTTTCAAAACATAAAATTTTCTGTTATTGGTGATAATCCTATCTTGTAAATTTTTGCCTACTCCTCTGACTATGTTAATCTTTTGAAGAGTCCAGTGTATGTCAGTCCTATTTGCCATGTTCCTTCAGGACGTTGATAATCAGATCTCTCCAAAATTTCCTACCTCTGTAGTTTTTATTAAATTTTATCTCTCTCCTAAACCTTCTGCCATCCATTTATTCAAGCTTGCTTAGTAGGTTATGCATTGTTTTCCTCTACCCCATTGCCTTCAATCTGTCCTGTGAGTATCAAATTTCCCAAGCCCCCTTTCCTCATTACATAGTGATATAATGGAATATGCATACACCAGAGTTCTCCCTTACTGGAATATGATTGGCTGGTGTCCGTCATAAATACGGACAGACATGTAGGTTCGACAAAGTTTAAGTCTATGATGACGCCCATTGGACTACGCCATTGGCTATCCTATTGGTCTACACCTATTACCTGCGACTACAACGAGTACCAGTCGATTACTGCTACCATGTACTACTTGGTTACAGTAGCCAAAACCACTTAGCTACTTTGATCAAATATATCCCTTTCCGGGACATATCACATAGAAACTTCATCTGTCTCTTCCTAATGTTAAGTGTTAATTTTTTTTTGTTTTTTAAACTCATTGTTAACATGTTCAATCAATGGTATTCTCAGGATCATTCTGTAGAATCACATTTGTTACTTCAAGTCTCTTTTTCATCTGTGAGGAGATTGTCCAGCATTAACTGTCATATAGGAAGACTGATATTATGTATCAGGTCAGTACTCATTTGTCACTAATGAAATTTTTCTGTTTCTTAATACTTTACTTAGTGCAAGATGACTTCCAAAAGCTATTCCAACGCACCTTCAGATTTCAGTATTGCACTACTGTAACAAATTAAATAGACTGATGAAATCAACTTACTTCAGATCAACAAGCAATTCATCCAACATAGAAATGAGTAGCTGTGCCAATTCGGGAAGTGGAAGTTTGGTTCGCATGCTGATACGAACTCTTTCCATATTGGATTCCTGAAAAGAATTATGTTAAAACAAGATTAAATCCTTTCTGTCTGAATTTCTGGGATGAGAAATTATTTGCACTCATCTTTGTTGTTATTTTAATTACCCCCTGGCCTTCTTCAGGTGCTTGTTGATCCAGGTAACCTCATTGGAATTTTAAACTGAACACTTTATTTAATCCACAAATGTAGATTAAAGTTTTTATTTAGTACTACTCCATTTATTGTTTGCCCTGTTCCCACAAAATCTAAATCTGTACTACCCAGTTCAAAGAAAATAAACCAGTGGATTAAAGCAGAGTTCAATTCCTGGACTGGGTAGTCCAGAGTTAGACTGTGAAAACAGAGTAAACAAAAATGAAGCAGTAATAAAAATCGAACTGAGTGAAATATCCTTGGACATTGTCATCAGAATGAGAACAATCTACCTCTGTAGATTAAATAAAGAGGAAGGTTACCTGGATTGACAAGCAACTGAAGAAGGCCAGAAAACCCAAAACCTTAACAACAAAGATGAGGATATTAGTCCAAATGTAAATTAATGTATCTATAAAAGGCCAAAGAATATATCATTTGGATCTTTAAAGAAAATCTGAAAGAAGTTGAATCAAAATTATTAAATCTCAAAACAGCTTAAAAAAAAAAAAAAAAAAAAAAAAAAAAATGAGGTAATTTGTTAGAATCAGGATTTTGTACAAATAAAGCTTTGCTGAAGTCAGTGCATTTAAAATTTAATTTAATTTATATATACACACACTCCCCCCAACCTGACCCTTGAAATAGACATATCTGCTCGGTTTTGTATCCTAACAAAGCAGTTTGTAAGGAAAGGGATAGATTTTTTTTCTTTTAATCTGTCAGATTTTAACTACTTAAATGTTATTTTTAGTGGATACTCATATTTCAGTAAACACTCAGTTTATTAAACAGTATAATTATTTGTCTACTGGCCTGAATATTTGAGAAATCTTATTACAGAAAAATATGCATTCTCTGGCAGGATTCAAACCTGCATTCTCCTAGAGGAAACGATCATTATATCTGCTATACTTTGACCTCTTGGCTACAAAGTGCATCGATGACCAAGCAAAAGCAGAATAGTGCTTTTAAACACGGATTTTTCTCTGGCTCTTGAAAGATATCAGCTCAGTTTCATATCCTAATAGAGATATTTTTCTCTAATAGGATTTCTCAAATATTCAGGGTGCTAGGAAAGTATTTTTATCTTCTTCAAAAGGTCCTCAAGACTAGTCAGGTCATAATTGTTGATAAAGAGGCAAGGTTACTACAGTCAGTTCAGATGTTTCACGTTATATACCTCCTGATATGCTGTGCATCCTGGAAGATGTTCAGTTGTCTTTTTGTTTTTTTTTAAAAATGAGCAAGTGATATAGGTGTCCTAGTCTGATTTTTGATAGGATGACATTCCTTTTGAAAAGGTTTGAGTCAATGATGCCATTCAACTAAAATGGGTTTAATTTTATGAAGCTTGCTATTTGGATGGTAGTTCCATAACACTTGCCATTAACATCTGTCAACCTTTTCCTCACAGACCCTAAACTATACTAATTTTCTACAATCTTTATAGAGTTTTTATTAATTAAAAGCCACTGTTTTTTTGGCCTCTGGTTAAATTTTAACCAACCAGGCTGACTTACAATTCAATATATTTTTGTTATGTTTCAGCCAATACATTCTACAGCCTTCTTCAGTTGTTGATAGTATAGGAAAAGTTTGTCTGAATTTCTGGGATGAGGAGTTATCATTTATATTATTCATATTTGAACTATTTTCCTCATCTTTGTTATCTCAAAGTTTCAGTCATTGTACCCTCCAGCCTTCCTTGGGTGTATATTAATCTGGGTAGCATACAGAGAATTCTGAACTTAACCTTTTATTTAATCTATGGGGATAGACTTTTTGGTCCACTGCCCATGTTCAGGAATATCGTCTAGTTTATATCTTCAGTACCGCTCAGTTATTGTTTGCCCATTTCCATCAAGTCTGAGCACACATTGCCCAAACCAGAGATTGAACTCCCAATCACTGTCACCAAATTCAGAAACCTTTATTCCACTGAGCCATTGTCAACAATAAAAGATAAGTGTTTGAAGATAAACAGTGTAAATATAGGGAAAGTGGTTTCACAAGAGCATGTTGTAAAAATAATGACCATTATCGTGTTTGTTTTACATGTATATCTGAAGAAGGCTATAGAATAGATTAGCTGAAGAATACAAGAAATGATCATAAAATTAGCCAGGAATTATGACCTCAAGTTTTAGTCACTTGACAGTTCCCAAGAAGAGAAACTGAATACTATCTTTTCTTCTATCTTTTACCATTTTCATATCAACATTGGAGATAACTTTAAATGTGAGAGGGAGGGAAAAAACAAAAAAAAAAAAAAAAAAAATAAAAGAGAAACTTGAACATACCAGTGAATCAACAATTTTAAGTAATAGATTGAGGGCTTCCAGTCGGAAGCTGATATCTTCCCAGGCACTGTCAACAACAGTACAAGGTTTGGTACCAGACCAAGGGAGGAAGTAATAGTGACAGCCATCAAAAACGGCATTGGTTGGCTGCGTAGTAGAAGAACAGGGTGCCACACCAGAATCTAATTTGTTACCATAATTACCTGCAATAAAGAAAACAGATTTAAAGTTATCAGTTGAAGAGAAAATAAAAGATTTGGATTAGGACATCTGAAGTCTTGATTTTAATATTCTATATATACTCAAATGTCACCTTTGACACAACTCCGGTTCTATTTGTAGAATTTATAATTATCTGCAAATACTATTATTAAAATATTTTTTATTGGTATGCTATTATGGCTGATGGAGAGAGTGCAGGCTGGTAAAGAGAAATAACTGTCTATATTTCAGAGATGAGGTATTTTAATTATTTACACAACATTGTTTGGATTGTTGTCCTCATCTCTGTTGAGGTAAACACAAAAAAAAAAAAAAAAAAAAAAAAACTTTGAGAGTTGACTTAAAGGGAGATAACTGATACTGAAACATTTAGAAGAGTCATGGCACATGGAACAAGAACAATTTACCTCAGTGGATGAAATAAAGGGCTCAGTTTGAAATTCCAATCACCTAAAGAAGGCCAGAGTGTACAACGGCCAAAACATTGTGAATATGACAAAGATGAGGCCCACAGTCTGAACAATAGAAGTAACTAAGTAGCAGTTAAAAGACCTGGAGTTACATCAGCAACAGATTTGTCAATTTATACTTAATTACTTAGGAAGCAGTAGTATGATTGGACTGCATATAGCTTTAGTCTTCAAATAAAAGCATTTAAGTGGTATTGTGAAAATAAAACTGCACTATGATGTGCTGTTTTGCTATATTAAAATAACTCAAATCTTAAAGCACAAGAGTATCATTTCTTTTGAGCATTTGCACAGAATTGGTTTTATTAAGTAATTACTATTTTGCAATTGTTGTTAGATTGTAGAATGAAGGCAACTCATTATGATATCACCTGCTACTAGTTTTATAGCTGTTGATGTGTATTGCTAGCACAAATCACAAGTCATTGTGACAGGATTTGAGCATACTGGCCTTGTTCAGATGATCATAACACTTTCTCCCAGAAACTGTAACTAAAGTCAACACACCATAGTTGCAGTATAAACCACAGGTTGGCTCTGTGGGTGTTGAACAAACACAAATTAGACTGGCATACTCAGATATGAATAGCCAGCTAAAGAAAACACACACACTGCTCTCCCATTGTTTTGACATAAGGGTACAGGAACTCAGTTGAACTGAATGGCCAGACTACTTGCACATAATCTGATTATAATGGTGAAAGGCTTTTGCAGAATCACAGTTTTGTAAGAGCTGAAAATAGAGAACATTGTACTCCAAACAGGTTTTGCCCTTCTCCTAGACTAGTTCCCACCTAAGGCTATAGGAGCCAGTCTGTTCTGCTATTTACCCATAGCAGGGGGAAGAAGAGATGGATTCATATCTTTCCCAAGGGTATTTTCATCTAAGTGAATGTAACAAAAACAATTGGAATTTGAACTCTGCACTCAGCTGCTATCCATTACTCCACAAATTTTTTTTTTTTTTTTTTTATTGTACAGTGCCATTACAAGGGCTAGTACTTAGTTTCAAAAAATTTATTTATTTGCATTGCCCTATATTTATTATTCAATTTGAACTTTTTTTTTCAAGCATGAAACATCCAAATGAGATAAGACAGTTCAAATTTACAATACTAGCTTTTTAAACATTACACAGGTGGGGGAGGGGGAACAGTTAAAGTTTAATTTTGAATAAAAAAAAATTTTAAAAAAAACAAATTTTGTATCCACAGTATTTTGCCAATAAGAAAAAAGTGAATTCAATCTGGTACTAACCAATGCTAACTTCAAACTCAACAGGTGCATCAATGCAGGTTACCATTGTAGCACTGAGAAAAGCTGCATGTAGTTTGTAATTTCTCCTGCGCAAGTATTTCTGTGTAAAAAGAGAAAATTAAAATCAAGCAGGTGTCACATATACACTTATACTACTCCTCCTCACCAACAGGATTCCATTCCAACAGGTAAACGAACAGGTCACTAGGTGAGAAGGTGTACTTGACTGCTATTGCAGGCATTTACAGATGTAATAGGTTTGTGTCAACCAAATTCAAATAGCTTTTATATCGTTTGTAACATTTCTCTTTCTAAATGTTTATACAGTAAACATAATAAACAAATTTGAAAGTCAGCTCTATATTCTGTACATGACTTTGCACCCTGTAAAGACAAGTACATTTTTATCTTTTACTTCATTTATTCATTTTGATTTCTTTTCAAGAAAGAAAAGCATGATTATTTGACTGAAAATCATGATTGACTGAATATATAAAAAAAAAAAAAAATTATAGCTGGTAATTAGTGCATAAGATAACAAATAAATAGGAAATGTTCAATCTAATGTTTCTTTTTTATTTAAGTTTAGAGAATCTCTAATGGTAAATGTTTGTTGTTTTATATATATATATATATATATATATATATATATATATATATATATATATATATATATATAAATAAATGTAAAAAAATATAAAAAAGCTTATCAGGCACCATTTAAGCTAGCTCTTGCAGAACGCTAGTGATTGGGCCTTCAGCTTGTTCAGGAGTTTGAGAGTACCTAAGTGAGGCGAATAAATAAAACAGTAACCAGCGAGTAAATTCAAGCTCTCCCAGCTGGTATTTCAACCTTGTGTCATTCCTTCTTGAGTTCTGTCTCAAAATCACACTAACTGCCCGTTCTCACCATCAACCGTGAACGTCCCTCGAAGAACTCCCCAACTCGGAAAAAAGTAGTTGCTTTTATAGTTGTTCATATACCCATAATCCCTTGTGTCTTCATTTCAACTGCAGTAGCTTTACATGCTAAGCAAATACGGGCTCTTTTTTGGTGGGGACAAGGCAAGTCACGACTGGTTGTGCTCGTCCCAGGTTCTGTCTCATGTCCGCCACACTCCCCTCTGAACTCCTGATCACACAGATGACAGTGAGGATACGGTCTTTTGTTCCGGGTGCTCCTCCGAAGGGGGATTGGTTGAACTTCTTCATCAGAGGAGCTCTCATTAGACACGTCCCGATCTATTGGCAAACTACCGCTATCGGAGTGATTGGTTGTTGAATCCAACTCTATGTATATTGGCTGTTCACTATCCTCCGTGTCTTCTTCATCAGTTGTGGGATTTGAGCCCAAAAAAGGGCGCAGGTCTCTAACATGACGAGGCATTCCATTGACCCAAGACTGACTGCTGACTCACCACCTCGGTCACACGTCCGGTTCCAAATTTGGTCGTGCATTTACCACGTGGAGTCTTAACCCAGACAATGTCCCCTTTCTTGTATTCCCCTTAGGTTATTTGTGATTCAGGCAGGGCGCGTCGGCGTCGATGCCTCTCACCCGGACGTGGTATGTGCAGTACATCAGCCGTGCCGTGGAAGGTGAAAGGTTGTCCTTAGATGTGACGTTATGCCAGTAAACGCTTCCAAGACTGAACAATTTTTTTCTGGCCGCTATGGTTTTGACGCTTCTGGTTGCATTCCACAATGCCATTTCAGACGGCACGTAAAAGCGCACGGAACCTCAAATGCACGCCCCAGCTGTTTAAAATTCCCTAAATTGTTTGCAAGTGAACGTGGTGTCATTGTCAGTCAGTATTTCAGTCGGCGGGCCTCATTCGTAGAAGACCGTCTCTAGCTGACGAATGACACCAGCAGAGTCTTGCCATCTCAGTGGCTGCCATACAGCAAAACAGGAGGGACCACAGTCAATGAGCGTAAGAAAATGGCTACCATTGTAATGGGTCACGTCCATTGCTAACCTGCTCCAGTTTTTTCTCACACTCAAATTTCCTTTCTTCCAATGCACTGGTGCTGGATCAATCGATTGGCAGGCTTCACAGGTTCTAACAACAGATTTTACCAGTTCCTTAGACAACGTTGGATCTACGGTCCTAGCAAAGTACATTGTTCTTTTAACACCTGGCTGCCCACTCTGCTGGTGGATGTGGGTCACCTGATGTTTGCTCAACTGGCTCGTTGCAGTGGCACAACTCACTTGCACTGGTTCTCCTTTCTTGTGCATCTCCAACCAGCGTTGCGGCACTCTGGTGAGGCTGTCAGCACGGTTCTGACAAGATTTTACCAACGTCACTCTAAAGTCAGGCTTGTTGATAACAATGGCGGCACATGTGTTCAGGTTTCCAAAATGCACTTCGCCTGATTCGGTCAAATAAACACCTCCGAGCACTTTGATTGCATCAATCCCGAGAAGAAGATCGAATCCTAGCAACTGCCCTTCCACGACCAGAACCTCAACAGTCACGGGCTGAATCTGCTCGATGCCCAACTTAATTTTACCGTATCCATGGCACTTCAGGGTCTTCCCGTCGGCAGTCAACACTCCCACCTCTTCCTGCTTCCAGCAGTGACACACAGTCTTGCTCACCAGCGTCTGTGAGCATCCCGAATCCACTAGAGCTGTGCACTCTATTCCATCTACAAATACTTGTACGGTGGGTAACTTCCGGTTTTTACTTGCTCGGGAGAAGGCTGGCGCTGACGCCTTCTCCCCTTCGGGCGCTTCCTGGCATTCTGAGGAAATGTGTCCAATGCCATTGCATCGAAAACACTGCTTGTCGCGGCCAGACCTCTGCGTTCTGTTTGACCTCTCCCTGACGTCCTTGTGTACAATTCTTCGCCATATGGTTGGGTCCAGAGCACTTGTAGCAGGTAATCGTTCTGCTAACAGGTTTGGCAGGGGAACCTCAGCTTCTGGAGCGTAGCTCTACGGATGCGGGGCGCCAATACCTGGCACCCTTCGTCATCCATCATAATAGCCCTTTGCTCGGGTCAGAATCTGTTCTAGATTCATGTCGTCCATCCTGGAAGAAGCTTTGAGAAGCTGCCTAACATGATGTGGCAGTCCTGACACAAATGCACATGCCATCCACCGATCAGGTAGCGGTTCTCCTATTAGCCGCGCTAAACGATACATTTCAGCCAGGAATTCATCCACAGTTTCCCCTGGGCGAAGACGCTGTCCCATAAATTGGTCGAATGCATTAAATCTGTCAGTCGCATATGCAGTCATAAGGGCCCGTTTAATTTGTTCCGCGTCTGCCCTCTGCTCTCCACTGAGTTGTCTATACACAGCAAGGGCACCGCCTCGGGTCGTAAAGGCAAGATGCACCGATCTTGTCCATGGCACAAAGTTCGCAGACCAATTCCACATTTTCTATCCATTCAACAATGGGCATATCCGTTGGGGGCACCGCTGAATTCTGAATCAAACAGACGTCAAAGACCTTGCCTTCCATTTTGAAGAATCAATACGCCGAAATAGCTTGAGGCGAATAAAGAAAACAGTAACCAGCGAGTAAATTCAAGCTCTCCCAGCTGGTATTTCAACCTTGAGTCGTTCCTTCTCGAGTTCTGTCTCAAAATCACACTAACTGCCCGTTCTCGCCGTCAACTGTGAACGTCCCTCAAAGAACTCTCCGACTCGGAAAAAAGTAGTTGCTTTTATATTTTTCCATATACCCATAATCCCTTGCATCTTCATGTGATCTCATAATTCATTGCGTCCCTGTCCCATAATGCATTGCATCGTTATTGCATAAAAATGCAATGCCAGTCCCCCCTCATTCTTTTACGTTATCTGGCCGAGGATGGATTACGGCAGAGCAGTAAGTGCTTTTTTTTTTCTCTCCCTCATTTCAACTGCAGTAGCTTTACATGCTAAGCAAATACGGGCTCTTTTTTGGTGGGGACAAGGCAAGTCGCGACCGGTTGTGTTCGTCCCAGGTTCCGTCTCATGTCCGCCACACTAAGTCTTTGCATATTCTCAGCAGTGAAGGCTCTTCTAGCTGCTGCTTGATCTGGATTTTCATTTGCACAGGAATTTCTTTTCTGCAACTTTGGATGTCGATTGCAGTCTGGTCTTTTGTTGGCAGTCACTTCTTTTGAGATGCATAGTGCTGCCGTATGTGCTAGGCAGCAAACTACACAAGAACTCAAAATTGATCACGTCATTTAAGTATTGCATTTTTAAAAAGATCAACAATAATTCTTCTGACACCACATAATTTAAAGACAATTTGATGTGTGTAGCTCCTTACTTTACATACAATTTATTTCATAGCTGACTGTCACTAGATTTTGCATTTATAACAAATAAAAAAAAATAAAAAAAAAAAATAAAAAAAAAAAAAAGCCAGTAACTTGGGAATCCAAAATTTCTAACATGAGCTATTGAAAGAGTTGTGTCTCTTTAATGAAAAAAGTGGTGACACACTGACATTTGAATTTATGCACATGCACACACACACGCGTATGTGTGTGCCTTGATGATATTCAGGGTGTCATGTGGCACAAGGCCTTTTTAACGTGGGCATTCCCGAGCCATTAGGCTCGGCCAAAAAATAGCCCATTTGAACCCGTATAAACGGGTTCAGGGCCGGTTTTACCTCCCCGAAGGAGACTCTGCCCTTCGGCGTAGCCTCCTTCGGGTTCCTCCCGCCCGTAGGAAGAGAGTTTAACCGAACAGTCGGTTCAGAGTTGTGTGCCTTGATGATGACTGCAAAAGTTGAAATACTTAGAAAAAGATATTTCTTCTTTCTCACAAAAGGAAAATGTAAAATTTGTGAAGTTTAATAGCTTACCTGTATTTTGAGGAGGTCATCATCTGGTATACTTTCAATAGAAGTTTCAGGTAATTCACCAAGTTTGGTTTTCAATTCTAACAAAGCTCTACCTCTGTATGCTACACCTTCACCCTGAAAGAAAAAAAAATTATATATATATTCATACTTTCTAAGTTAGGTCGATACAAATTTTGTTAACATTCAGAGCATGATTCAGCCAAGTCTTTTTTTCATTTTAAATTTATAGAAATCCAGAAAAATATCTAAACTAAATCATACTATAAAAGGTTAAACTTTCTATAAATTCTATTTTTCTGAAAGGTAGAGACTAGTTTCTGACATCAATGTTTCCATTTTTGAAGTTGAAACAACTATGAGAGATTTTAAGAAACTTAAGTCACATTTTAACTAATTGTCTTCTCAAACAAAAAATTCTAAATTTTGGTCAATATCTCAATATCTTGGATTTGAACAGCTAGCAAGACAAGCATTATTGCATAGAGCAAACAAGATCCTCTGAAGATGACAAGTTGGAAGAATACACTTTAGATGAAAGCTTGATTCTTTTGATATATCTTTTAAATCTCCAATTCAGTTTAGATTTCTAAGGTCTTACAATTATCTTAATCCAAAGCCTCAAACTTTACAAACTATTCCCAACATATGACTACATCATTAAATTCAGTACCCCCAAACTAAACATCTTTAGCACTTATTCAAATTAAATAATATTTGAGTAGCAAAATAAGCCTCCTAAAAGTTAAGCAAAGTATTAAGAAACAGGAAAACTTCATTTGAAAAAAAAGAAAAGAATGCTGAACTGTTATGTAATATCTGTCCTCCTATATGGTAGTGAATGACAGAATTTCCTCACAGATGAAGAGACCAGAGGCAACAGAAACATGGTTCTACAAAAGGATGCTAAGAATACCATGGACTGAATATGTGAGTAACAAAGTTTTAAAGGAAAATGGAAACAAAACGGACATTTATACTTAAAATCAGAAAAAGACAATTGAATTTCTAGGGCACATGATGAGGAAAGAGAGTTTGGAAAATTTGACACTTGCAAGATAGATGACAGTAGCAAATAACTTACCTAATGAGCTAATGTAAATGGTTGGCAAAGTAGTGATTAGGAGAGAGAGAGAGTAAAAAAGAAAAACCTAAGAGCCAAAAAGAACAGGATGTTGTGGAGAGCCATGATCTGAACAAATATGGCATATACAAGAATACTCTACTATCAGGCAGAGTGTTAACACCCCATTAAACAATTATTCTTTCTCAAAGCAAGAAATCAGAAAAGAGTTCCACAAGTGAGAAGTGCGAGAGAAGAAACTATTAGAATAGAACAATATAAAGCAACAGACCAGATGTGGCAGCAATATTCAATGCATGGACAAATGGTAAACTTATAAAAAAAAAGAGATTAATATTACTAGTAAATTAACTGTCAACCACAAGATTACTTGTTGGCAGTTTTTATTATGATATCAAATATGAATTATTTTTGTAACATTGATCTCAAGGCTACAACTACAATATTTCTGTTTTTAACAATTAACTGGTGTGTCTAAGACAGGAATTAAAACACCTAAGGCAGGAATGAAAATTCATACTGGCAACTAAAAACAAACTTAAAGGAACAATTTATTGAGAAAACAAAAAAAAAAAAAACACATTTAAAATATTTTTATTGCCTAAGTTATCTATTATAAAATTGGTGTTAGATTTCCTAATTGGCTTCTCAATGTATTAAACAGCTGCCAACAGCACCTCACCTTGAAGTAGCTGGCCAAAAACATGACCATTGAAATAAATAGCAAAATATGAATATTAAAAAAAATATATTAAAAAAAATCAGATATAGAGATTGCTCTTATATAGAATTGCTTGGACATTAACATCAACCATGTCAGACTGGATCCAAAGGATATAAGATGAAAGAGTCATTGGCATGTAAGTTATTGTTGTAATGGAATGTCCCACACACTCCTCATCGCCTATGTGGACTGACTATATCAGTAGCTATATATGGTAAGCACAGGATAAACTTGGAGGCTTGCTTCGGGAATTGCTAGCCTGCCACCCGATTCCCTGTCTTTCAGTAGCGTATTCTCTTTTACAATAAACCTCTCTTTCATCTATGCGTGTGTTACTGTTCCTTCACAGGAGTACCACCTTTGTAACCTCTTTAAGGATATAGTTATATTTGATCATTTAATGGTTTCAGAAACCAAAATAACTAACATTGCAATATAATAGCACAAAGAACTAGAAAATGTTTTAATTATTTCATATATCATTTAAACCACTTAAGACATGCTCAAATAATTGATGAGCTTTGATAACCATTTCTGACAATTTTTTTTTTTTAATAATTTCACATAAACTGAGAAAACCATTATTAAAGAAAAAGGATAGTAAAAGAACAGGATTCAAGGTAACAGATAATGACAATTGATATTGCATTTAAATCTTTGAAGATTGGAGTTGACAAGAAACCAAAAAGTAAAAGAGTTCCAAAAGCAAGAAGTGTGACAGAAGAAACTACTAGTAAAGAACTTACAGCTAGCAATTTCAACAGTGAAATTATGAGACCTAACTGCCAATCTAGTACTGTGCTTAAATTCCTGAATATAGTGAAGAAGGCCCATCAGAACATTTATCATGAACATATTTATAGAAAAGGCAAAAAGAAGCTACTTGACAATGGTGAAAAAGTAACTGAAGAGATGCCAGGTGAAGACCTTGCAGATTATTTGTTGAATTTTGGGATGTCTGAAAACTGATGCTGCTGAAACAAACTTACTTTTCCCATGTTCAGATCGTCAAATTCATCAGGTAAATCAGAGTATTCTCGTGTGGAGCCATAGAAATTGATGTAGCATGGTCCAAATGTTGGCAGGAAACCTTTAATTACAAAAAATGAGGTTATTAACAAAGGCATTTTTTTTTCTTCAGCTTGTATTAAAATGGAATTGATGCTAATCATAGAAAAAGATGCCAATTCAAAGCTAAAGCATTCTTTAATATTAAAACCTCTAGGATAAAATACTAAAATAATGCCCAGATTGTTAACGATTCTCTTTATTTGTATTTGAGATAAGAAAATATACCAATTTAAACTGTTGTCCAAGTGTATATAAAATTTTTTTTGAAGTGTACAGTTTATCTGACGATTAGGAGTTCAAATCCCCAATTTAAGCAACGAAGTTCAGATACTCTGGTTCAGTGGAATGGATAAGTTGATACTAGTTATCCCCCTCCAGCATGGAATGTGAATAACTTTGAATAAAGGGTTCAGTTTGACATTTCAAGAACATTACCAAATGCAAAAGGCGCCATCAAGATGACAACAGGTCAAATAGTGTATAACATTTTCTGTATTTCATAGGCAAATAGATAATAATCAGATGAAGATATAAATTATGATTAAGCTGTACAGTTAGAGGATAAGGCAGCAAATTGCTAATCTGACAGTTGAATATCTAGCACTATTATATTCTGAATTTATCATTTATTCAATTATAAAGTAATTCTAATTTTAGTCATACTGGTTTCAAAATAAAGTTTGTCTGGAAACCCTGTAAGCTGTACGATTAAAAATTTTCATAGTTGATGATACAGGACTTAGTGCTTGAAAATAAGTGTTATATGAATGTGTAAAAGTTCATTACAAAAGAAAAAAAAAAGCAAATGAATAAAAAGTAATGATTCACTAAAAGTATAAAAATGACAACTTTAAAACAACTGATTATAAAATCAGTCAATTATCTTTAATAATTAATAACCTGTGAACAATCTAAATAATATGTAACTAATTTGTAAAACAAGGTAGGTTTAGTGTTTTAAAGGGATATTAATACATTAGAGTTTGCTGAAGAAAACACATTTAGAACATTAAAGAAATAAAATGGTTGAAAGAATGATGAGAATTCTGTTTCTTTGTTGCTATTTTCAAACATTTTTTTAGTAAATTTTAAAGGAAGTAAAATACAAAAACATTAAAAGAATTTTGTAATTATGTATAAACATTCATCTCCATTTAACTATAGGTTTGCTTTTTGTCAGTTCTGCAAACCCACAATTAAAACCATAAATTGAGTTTTACTTTAAGGTAACAAATTATAATAAAAGTGATGCTAACAATTTGCATCTTGAAACTGTAAAGTGCTTTTTAAGTGGAATGTGCAAGTTCAACTTAAAATTTCTCATGAGATTGCTACTGTAAAAATGAGACTTCTGTCAGATGACAGGGTATATTGTTCTATTATTGTTACTGTCCATTAACCTCTTATTGTGCTTAATTTATGACTTCATAGGTGTGTTTTGTGTGTGTATATATATATATATATATATATATATATATATATATATATATATATATATATATATATATATATATATATATATTATATATAAAATGGGTGTGCAGCTCTGTGGTTAGAACATTTGGTTTGAGACCCAAGTTATAAATCTCACCATGGTAGAAATGTCAGGAAGGTAACATGTTATTGGCCTGAGGAGAAACAATTCCAGTGTGCAGCACCTTCAGAAAAGGTGCCTAAAATCATCAAGGTTTAACTTAAACCTTGTGAGTGAAATTAGGTAGATGGTACTGTTCAGAAACAGTCAATAGTTGTGTAAGCAGGAAGTCACAAATCATAGTGACTGAGGGTTTGAGCATTGTTCAAACTGCTGATCATGTGCCCCACTCCAAGAAACCAAACTGTAGTCAATTCAACAGAGTTACAGTATAAACCACATGTGAGCTCTGTGGATGTTGAGCAAACACAGATGTGCCTGAGCAGGAGTCTATTAACTGCCGTAGTAGACTGGTGTATACAGAAAACAAGGAGTTGGCAATTTAAGAAAACAATATAGAGTTTGGTATTCTACATATTTTCATATATCTACTTGAGATCTTGGAAGATAACACTGCTGAGAAGGAAGAAAGAGCTACTGTACTGGTAAATATTTTTCTAGAAATAAATTTGTTTTCCTAAGACTAAAGTTAAAAAAAACTCTTCAAGTACTAATAATCAGTACCCTTCCCCCTAGTTTATAGCAGTCCATTTTCTGGTGAGAAAATATTGACATAATTTTGTCTTTGAAAGACATTTAATCTTTTACATTTAAAAAAAATTAAATCTATATTTAAATATGTGATTTCAGTCAATAGTTCTTCAACATCTCTTAAGTGGTGTTATTTACAAGCTTCTAAATGAAAACAATTTTAGTTTTCTTTATAGGTTGATCGATATAGGGTAAATTACTGGTAAGTTGGGTATGAAACAAAAGTCAATTTTTTTTTTTTTTTTATTAAAACATGGTGTTTTTTAATACTCATTACTGAATTCTTATAACCATAGTTTTTTTTTTTTTTTTAAACTTATTTCAATTCTGAAATCTAAAAATGGATGCAAAAGGACAAAAAAAATGATTTGTCAGATTGAAATTTTCTTCAGGTTGAAAAGGAAAAAATATCTTTATTCAAAATGTACACAGAGACCTTGCAGATTTTAATTAAAATTTAATTTTGATAAACGATAAGTTTAAACCAGTATTATGCAGGATCAAATTTACGTTACATCACTTAAAGCACTTTCTGGTTAAAATGTTATATTCGTTGCTATACCCAATACAGATTAAAATTTTATATAAAAATATTTGTATAGTTTGGAACTATAAAAAGGAAATGAAAACCTATTTTGTAATTGTATGCATTTAATTATAAGTCAACTTGCAAAAGAAATGTTGATTAATTCTCTCTTGTTTCAAGTGACTAAGGAATTACCAATATTATTCCATAAACTTTGCATTAATATTACTACCTGTATAATATTAGTGTAAGTAATGTGCATGCAAATTTACTTTTATGGGGTTAGAGGAGGATAAAAAGTAAGACCTATTTCATAAAATTAATTACAATGTATGAAGTGTGTGTGTGTGTATGTTTCATAATTTTTATATATATAAGTAGCTGATAGGAATCTCAAGAGAAACAAAGTTCATATTTTTAGTAGAAATTTTATCTGATAATTTATAAACTTTCAAAATACAATGAATTTTTTTTTGAAAACTTCTAAATTTTTAAGAACAGAAATTCCCATTTTGAATTTCTAGTGAAGCAAAGCCATTTTATAAGGAAAAAAGCAGCAATAAAAAGCAACAAGTGAAAGTTAGGTTTCAAAAATAAAAAAGTCAAGTGCATACATACAGATCATACATTTAAGACAATGTGAAACAAAAAACAGAATTCAGAAAACACAAAAACATCTCAGAAATATACAAAAGGCAAAAAAGGTTTTATGTAAGATAAAAATGGTTTAGTTCTAAGTTGATTATTTGTAATGAAAAAAAAAAAAAAAAAAAAAAAGATTGCTACTTAAGAAAAATTGTGCTGTTAAACATGTTCAGATTACAAGCCCATTAATTAGAATAAAAATCTATTTTTATTTAAGTAATGAAAATTTGTATCCACTGCAATTAATGGGTCAAGTTTTCAGAAACAATTTTATAATCTTTAACCAGACTGGAATGCTATGTCATTAAGGATTTTCTTTCTTACCAATAAATGTCATTGTTCATATGTTTTTTTTCTTCTTAAACTTACTCGATTAAAAATGTAATTTGCTTTCTTAAAAAAAAATAAAAAATAAATAAAGACTGTACTTAGAGTGATATTACAATGAGAATTTTTCCAAGTTGTGTAACCTTACTACTTGAAGGATTTTGGTTGGCTTTTCAAAAAAAAAAAAAAAAAAAAAAAATTCAATACAGAATTCAGCAAAGTATATTAAGATCAATAAAACAGAATTTTAGGAGTAGACTCTAAATTTCAAACAACCCGTAACCAAAGTGAAGAATTAGAAGTTAGATATTTCATGCCAAGACATGGAATGAAAGAAATTTTGTCAGAATCTTGGTTGTTTCTTAAACATTCTTCAGCATACAAAGTATTCCACATTCATCAAAGAATTGAAAATTCTAATACAAACATATTGAAGAGACTGGAAGCAGTGGTTTTCTGTGTTAACTTGATTATTCTTGAGAAAGATTATGGCTATAATTTGTATAAGTACAGAGTCTTTGATAATTTTAACTGATCATGGCAAGTTGTATATAAGATCTTACAATTTATTTTATTTTTTTGGTGAGGACATTACTTATTACCAAGAGCAATGAATACAAATGTCTGAAAGCTCATAGTATTTCTTAGTGATGAAACCATTATGTTTGAAATAGTATTTTCTTATTTAGGTTTTGACTTTTTATTTGGTTTTATTGCCTTCCATATTCCTGTAACTGATCCAATCAAGCTGTTAATAGATCAACTCCTATTCCTATAGGTCCAGCATCAATATGCAAGGACAAAATTTTAAGGTGTGATTAATTGACTTGCTTCTTTAGTAGGCACATATGTACAGAAGTTAACTAACATGGAATGAAAATGGAAAATGAAAATTGTCACAACTTAAGTAAATTTAGTATTGGCATCAAATCAGAGCATTTTATAAATTAAAGTGTTATTTTATTTTTGTAACATTAGTGCTTTGTTTGTTTCATTAACATTAGACCAGCATTTGTTTTTTTTTTTTAAAGCAAGTTATACTTTCATAATTTTGTCTGTCAAAGAGCCCAAACTTCAATTTTTAAATACTACAATATTCTGCAGTACAATGTATCAACTTAAAGAAAAAAAAAAAAAAAAAAAAAAAAAAAAAAAAAGGAATTAGCTAACCTTGAGAATTTGTCTTTCAGGGATGATGCTTTAACCACCACTAAGGCAGAGTTTAGGCAAAACGTAGAAGGTTCTGCCCAGAATAAAGGTGGAAGAATGTGGTTTCAAGAAACCTTAAATCAAGATTCCTGTAGTTCATAAAAACTAGGTAAAAATGATAAAAAAA